AGCTAGGAATAAATGCATGTCTTTTATACAATTTCAGCCTCCGTTCATTGAGTGCTCACAATAGTCCCTGTCTCTGTGCGATCTAGCTACAAGCTCTGAAACCTCAAACTCGCTTGAAATATCGCAAGACTCTCTCTCATCGGCCGTGAGGGGAGCTTCGCTACCAATCGTTTACAATACCTGGTCATGCAGCTCGCTGGACAAGCCTTCTAGCCCAGGTTACTAAGCGATACTGGTGATTAGTGAATCCCATTTAAGTCTCACATTAACAGACTCACGTGGATATCACAATTGAGATTGGAGGAACCAACCATTCGGCATAACGATTAGGCAATAATCGTCATTAAATACTAATTAATTAAAACTTAATTAATTTTAAAACATATTGATGGAGATATTAAAATTTACCTGAGCTAATAATTCCTACAGGTGATAACTCAGCTGCTTCTCTTCCCCATCCCGTATTAACACTAATAAGTAAAGTTTGCGCGCTGCTCACTCCATCCTGTGAAATAAAATGCTGGCGCAAAGCCCTGAAATGCAATTTGGGTGATTTTGCATAGAAACTTCGAGAAAAGTCCCAGGGACTCCGTAAATCCAGCCACACTCCTTCCTACAGAGATGGAAGGAGATGACCATGACTGCATTGAAGTGACTCAAGCACTAGCAAAACCCAGAGAGGATTTAGAGAAGGATCCCCTGATGGAGGGGGAGACAGTGTTTGCAGATGGGTGCTCGCTCCGGCTGAAGAATGGAGAGCCCTCCACCTCTTATGCGGTTGTGAGATCAAATGGTGAACTGATAGAAGGGGGAAAGTTGCCAAACACATGGTCTGCGCAAGCAGCTGAGTTGTTTGCACTGACCCAGGCCTGTAGCCAAATGAAAGATTGGAAAGTGACTATTTTTTACAGACTCAAAATATGCATTTGAAGTCTGTCATGACCATGGAACATTGTGGAAGCAGAGAGGGTTCCTCACAAGTTCAGGCAAACCTATCCAACAACATTCGCTCATGCTATCCAGTTGCCAGAACAACGTGCCATAGTGAAATGCAAGGCATACACTAAACAAACAGACTAAGTGAGTGTGGGAAATGACTGGGCTGATTGGTAGGCTAAAAAGGCTGCCACAGACCCAGAGGCTCCTGTGAAATTGATGAGCAATACTACTGACCCAACTGACCTTTCTGTCCTACAGACAGGGGCGACACCAGAGGAGAAAGCGAGCTGGAAGCAGAAAGCTGGTGTGTTAGGATGCGACGGAATCTGGAGAGATCAAACAACTAACCTTCCTTTCCTCCCTAAATCTGCTTTCCCAAGGGCTGGCAAAGGTGGCACACGGGCTTGATCATGCCTCCCAGGACGTAATGGTTTAACTGGTCCAGAGGCATTGGGCTGCACCATCTTTCACTGCTTATGCGCAAGTGTTTGTTTCCAGGTGTCCCACCTGTATGACCCACAACATGGGCCGTGCATTAAAGCCGTCAGCTACTACGGCCCCGCGGGCTAAGGGCCCTTGTCAGCATTTACAGATGAATTTAATAGAATTGACTCCATGCAGGGGTTACTGCTACTGTCTGGTGGTTGTTGACCTCTTTTCTAGATGTCTAGCCTATAGGAAACCCTGGGAGACCTACATTAACAGTTCAAGGCAGAGTGACAGAACCAGCAGAGGGACCTGACACAATGCACTGGTACCAACCCCGGTGGAGAAGACCATTCCAAGCCCTGCTGGCCACATTGCACGCCGTTAAGATCGAAGGAGTAGCTGCGTGGGTTCACCTATCCCATTTTTGATGCACCGCGCCACTGTTGAAGAAAGGACGAAGTCACAGCATACTGGCCTGACAATCCTCGCGCCAGTCTTTGTTTGTGTTTCTTGATTTGCTTATGTTTGCCCTGTATCTGTCAGTGTTGTGATGCTACGATCAGACGTACACTTGTTTCACATGAAGGTTTCTGTCGTCTTTTCATACAGACGTGCCCACCAGATGTCTTTTACATGCCTGTTGGCTTGCTTGGCTTGTACCCCTTAAAGGAGGATGAAGAGAGCATGCTGGTGTGATACAAAACTGGGATATTGTATCAAAGGGGGGAGTGTGGAAGAAAAATCAAACATTAATCAATATTATGCAAATCATATACTAATTCAATGGGTAATTAGTAATAAAACCTATGCTACCATTTATATTACAACTGTCAATTGAAATTATATATGATTATGTAATGACTGCATTATGATTTGTTACAGAAAAGTATGGCATGTTGCATTTAAGCTGTTAAACAGTGAATATTAGCTTGCTCTTAGAAAACTAGGCTTTCATGCATATAAGAGGATCTAACATATTCTGGTATGATAGCTTATTCTGCAAAAAGGACCGGATCAAGGTACAGACCTGACCCGAGAAGTAAGGCTGTTGCAATATAAGAAAGGCATGAATGTTGGGGGTTAAGGATATGTGTAAGGAGCAAAGGAGTATATGGGGAAGTGAAATGAAGAACTCAACTTGTTTGAATAGGATAATGAAAACCACAAGAGTGATCATGAAAAGGTCGACCCTGCCTTGACCTGATAATGGGCACAGGATAATGATCATGGAAAGGTCGACCCTGTCTTGACCTGATAATGGGCCTCATTATCAGTAGTAACTGGTGACCACAGATATCCAACCTCTCCTCAGCTGACTGTAAGCTGTCGCAATTTTCGGCTATAAAAAATGTAAGCACCTGTTGTTTGGGAAACAGATCACAAGACGCATGAAAGACTGCTGAGTGCCTGTTCCCGAAATATTTGGAAAAGGAAATAAAGTTTTGTCAGACTCTTATACTAATCGACTTCTGCCAGATTTCTTCCACACCTGTCCAAACCCAAATTAGATGCATTAATAAAGTCAGGAGAAAAGGGCTCTGCTCCACAAATGGAAAATAACTAATTATTTCAGAATAAAGCAAAAGTATCTAAGTCTACAGGTTGAGTTAAAAAATACCATTAAACTCGCTAATTGGAATGTCGAAAGGAAGATTGCATTGGAGGCTAAGGATGACATTAAAAGTTTTGTAGGGGAACCGTCCACTGGCACAATGACGGAATCCAATTGGACAGCCGAAGGCTTGGAATGCGTGTGGGTCCTTCCAAGCGCTCCTGTAAAGTTACTTACTCTTTTTAGGTAAAGACCGAATTATATCTTACTCCATTTTAATTAAAGATCTTTATGGCAATTTTAGTCATGACATTTCTGTTATATAGATTACTCCTGGGCTGTGCCTTCTATTGCTGAACTCTCACCAATCCTCGGCCAATAGGGCGATCCATGGATCTGCTATGTAGAACTTGGTTTAGAAGTTGGGAAATCACTACAATGTAATACAGTGCCAACCTAGATACCCGTCTGGACCTGGCGACCCATAACGCCTCAGAGGCTCAGCTGACACTTGCCGAATCTGAGCTAGTGAGGGCCAGAGAGGTTAAGCTGGTGTTTGCCGTAACTCAGCGTGTGCGCGCCTCAGAGGCTGAGCCGGACTTTGCCGTAACCCAGCGTGTGCGCACCTCAGAGGCTGAGCCGGTCTTTTACCGTAACTCAGCGTGTGCGCGCCTCAGAGGCTGAGCTGGTATTCACCGTAACTCAATTTGGACAGTTGCATCGGGTCTCGGAGAAACGGGGTCGTATCAGAGGCTGCAAGAGAGTGTTAGAATAACCCCAGTCTCTGAGAAACATGTAGAGGTTAGCAAAAACAGACAGCAAAGAAGTAATCAAAACACAGTTTATTCACAATTAATATACACTCACCTAAAGGATTATTAGGAACACCAT